TCTCTCTCTCTCTCTCTCTCTCTCTCTCTCTCTCTCTCTCTCTCTCTCTCTCTCTCTCTCTCTCTCTCTCTCTCTCTCTCTCCCTCCTCTGTTTTCGCTCTACTCCCTGCTATGCTCTCTCCACTCTCTACTGCGCACGCTCTACTCCCTGCTATGCTCTCTCCACTCTCTACTGCGCACGCTACTCCCCGTTCTACCGAAAGCATATCCGACCTCTTTTATGTACTAAATGATCACCCTTCGTAACCCTTTCTGGCGCAGGTGGAGCTGTGTCGCCGTTCTTGTTAGCCTCACAGTTCCAGTGTTTCGATTCCCGATCTGAAGAACATTCGAGATATATTTGTGCACCATCATGATTGATTTCACTAGGGTGTGAAAGAACAAATTTAGAATTGTCTTTGTGTTTTCATGGGCTGTTGTAATTCAGAGACAACAGACTCACTTCTTGTTTTGAAAGTAGTTGCCGTTCCTTTTTTGACGGAATGAAAACAAAACCCACAAAACTAAAAGCTACTGTGTTGGCAACTTGGTGCCGTTGTTCCTTGCAGGGGTTTTCTTCCGTCTGGTTGGTAGCATCACTGGGCAGCCATTACTGGGAGCAAAGGTTGTGGCAAGCTTGTTGATGTTTGCAACCGTCTCCGGCATTCTCATGGCTCTATTTCTGAACACTGCGGGAGGGGCATGGGATAACGCCAAGAAATATATTGAAAGTGGTGCACTTGGTGGAAAGGGGAGTGAGACACACAAAGCAGCAGTCACTGGAGACACGTACGTTATTCTGTCCTTCAAAGCCCTTTCACGAGCCTGTGAAGGCAACCCTGCCGTTTCATGTGTGTGTGCAGAGGATGTGTGTGCAGAGGGTTCCACGTCTGTGTGTGTGTGTGTGTGTGTTTGGACAAGGCGCACAATGGTATGCAGCTCAATACCAGCAGATCTCCGAATGCGTCCAAATGCTTCTGTAATGTATGGGTGCACCTTAGGAACGAGAACTTGTAGTTGTGGGACAGACGCATCCGGTAGTTGAAGCCTCGAAGGGTGTAGGGAATGACTATGTGAGAGCAGCATCTATGCTTCAAATGCTGTTTGTGTAATAATCAGAACACGCAATAATAATACATCACAAACAAACACAGAAGATGGGGAGAAGGCAAATGACAGTGAGACAAATGACAGGGAGGCAACAAGGCATTGGATGAGGAGTTGCAACAAGGAACATAGTCTTGAGGGAACGGGTGCAGTGGTTGGGCAGGCAAACAGGACAAAAAAGGAATGCTCCCAAAGCAGAGGTTGCCAATGGGTGGCCTGACCCGAAACTGGCAGTTTTGGATGGGTGCGGGCATGGCAGCTAGGGTATGAGCTGCTCTGGCTGGGTGTGAAAATCCATTGGCCGGGCCCGGGCGGGGTGGCTAACCTTCGGGTGGGCATGGCTGGGTGTTGAAATAGTGCCTGGGTGGGTATGGCCGGGTAGAGGTTTGGCCCGGGTGACCCGAACCCTGTAGGCTCATATACTAGGGCCAGGCCACAATATTAATCTAGTGCGAGGCCAGTGCCTCTATGAGCCGCATAAGGCCCCAATTTGCAGCCCGTCGGCCACCCTAAGTGAAGGCAGGCTCGACGAGGCCCTCAGGGCCCTTTTCTGGCCACTACGCAACTCAGGGAAATTCAGGCAGTTGCGCAGCGCCAGTTGGTTGAGTGAACCCAGGCCCTGGGCCGCCTGTGTGAATGTATGTGAAGCAGGCCCTGGGCTGGATACGGGTACCGGGCCAAACACAGGCCTAAGGCAGTTGGGCACATGCAACCACTTCAGGCCCAAGGCCTGCTCTCGTCGTGCTGGGCCTCAGGCTACCGGGGCCTACTGGAAGCTTCCTGGGACTGGATGCAGGCAGGCCACTTCGATATAGGAAAGGGCCTGCCTCCTCATTCG